AGTTTTGATTCGGTGGTGTTTTATTTTGACTGTAAGTTCTGTTCTAGTGCTATAAGCACATCTATTCTGGTGCCATGAGCACAAAGGGAGGCATAAGGGGCCAGAATCCGAGAGATTCTGTCAGTGTCTGGGAAGGGAGGTATAAGGGGCCAAAATCCGCTGAGATTCTGTTAGGGTCAGGGAATCTGTTCTGACTTTTGATATGTTCTGAATTGATATGATTTGATCTGATCTGTACGATTTTGTTCTGTTCTGATTTGATCTGATTTTGATATGATTATGTTCTATTCTGATTTGATCTGATCTATATGATTATGTTCTGAATATGATTTTTGTTCTATTCTAATTCGATATATGATTCTGTTGATCTGATTTTTGTACGGATTTTGTCTGATGTGTTTGATGTGGATTCTGAGAATCCTAATTAGAAGTTTGATGTCTTGCTGAGCTGTTGTAGCTCATCCTTATTTTCTATGTAGTTTTCAAGTTCTGGGAAAGGAAAGGAAGTCCTAGAGTAAGAGTTCAGAGTCTGATCTGTTATAGGTATTTTGCACTTTTGATTTTTGTACAGTCATGGCTTTTCTATTTTGTTTTTCTTTCTGTCTAAAAGCCATGAGCTGTATTTTTATATGATTCTTTTGAGGAAGAAAAAGATAGATGATCTATTCCGCTGTATTTTGATGTTTATAGTAGCTATGTGTGTCTGTTTCTGTGTGTAAATGTTTGGAAGAAAGTTCTGAAACAAATTCCAAAGCCAGATCCTGGAATCAGTTCAGTCAGTTAGAGTCTGGATCATGACCCGATGCGAGCGGGATCCATCCCGGTCGAGTTGGGTCGTGACAAACTTTAGTGGTATCAGAGCAATGGTTTTGGAATTTAGATTATAAGACTGAGCTATAGGAAGTGATCGGAGTCTGTCTGGGATAGTTTTGGTTTGTCCGGATTTTTATTGTGTTATTTTTGTGATTAGTTTTCTAGATTTTCTTGATTTTCTGTATGGATCTGCTAGACCCCGATATGACAGACGGTCAGAGTGCCAGTTAGGTAGCACCAGTGGGTAGTACAACCCCAGTGGTTGGTGCAGATACACTTTCCCAGTCTGCTACATTGGTTGCTCAGATGATTAGCGAGACTCACCGTAGAGCCTCTACTGTTCGATCTGAGGATATTGATAGACATCTTCAGATGTTTGTGAGATTGAAACCACCAAGGTTTGAGGGCGCTGTTGAGCCTAGAGCAGCTGAGGAGTGGCTGAGGAGGTTAGAGAAGACTTTTGACGGCATGTAGTGTCTGTTAGACAGGAAAGTACCTTTGGCAGTTCTTTTGATAGATGGGGAAGCAGAGCACTGGTGGGTAGGCCAACAGGAAGCAAAGTTTCAGGGCAGATTGAACTCTCTGATTTCTTGGGAAGAATTTTCTGAGGTATTCCAATCTTTGTTTGTTCCCTCTTTTGCACAGCAGCAGATGTAGGAGAGTTTTCTAAGGCTGGTTCAAGGGAGCAGGACGGTGATGCAGTAAGAGGTAGAATTTACTGCCTTAGCCCGATATGCTCCGTAGCTGGTAAGTACTTCTGCTGAGAAGTGCTATCGATTTCTGAGGGGACTACGAGATAGTCTGAGGCAGCCCCTGGTACCATTTCATATTTCTAATTTTTCTGAGCTTATGGAGAGAGCTCGTCTGATATAAAACGATCTGATGGCTACTCAGTAGCGGTGGACTGTGAGTAGGAAGAGGTTTGGGGGTGATTCGAGCAGTAGTTCCTCTGGGAAGAGGAGATTTGTTTCTGGTTCTGGAGACTCCAGGAGGAGTGGACAGTCAGGATTTGCTAGTACTGCAACGACCAGTACGACCAGCTCTGGATCTGTTAGTGGGGCACTTGTGTGCCAAAGTTGTGGACGATGACATTTTGGCCAGTGCTACAGGATGACTAGTTAGTGCTTCAGATGTGGTCAGCTAGGACATCAGATTGTAGAGTGTCCACAGGCTGGATTTGATCGATGATCTGAGTTCCGATCCGAGAGCTTTGTTAGACCTGTTGGTTCAGTAGGAAGACCGAGGACTGTTCCTCCACGCCCTGTGACTGAGGGATTTTCTGGTAGAAGTTGTGGTTTGAGTTCTGTGCCACGGAGACCACCTACTGTTAGTCAGAGGGAGCTTAGTAGTTCTGTAGCTTCAGCTCCAGTTAGCCACGAGTGTACAGTCTGAGTCAGCAGGAGGCACGAGATGCTCCGGATGTGGTGACAGGTATGATTTATATTTTTGATCAGCCCTGTCATGTTTTGTTTGATTTTGGAACCAGTCTCTCGTTTCTTTCTGAGCGTTGTTTTGATGCTTTGCATCTGGATTCAATTTTGCTACCAGTTTCTCTTTCTGTGATTTTGCCGACTAGAAGTAATTTGATTGCTCGGAAGTTTTGTTTTTGTAATATTGACATTGCTGGCAAGAAGTGGAAATCGAGTTTGATTTTATTGCCGATTTCTTCATACGATGTGATTTTGGGCATGGATTGGCTGAGTCTTTATGAGGCCCAGATTGACTGTTTGAAGAAGCAAGTGAGTTTGCTTATGTCAGGAGAGAGATGTGTATTCCAAGGCTTATGAGGTGTTCTCTCTTGTCTGATTTCTGTATTGGAAGTGAGAAGAATGTGGAAGAAGGGTTGTCCGGTATTTTTAGCTTCGGTGCGGAATATGAACCTGGATGTGGGTTCTGTTTCTGATATTCCAGTGGTAAGAGAGTTTGCATATGTATTTCCTAAGGAGTTGGTTGGTTTACCTCTGGATAGAAATGTGGAGTTCTCTATTGATATTTTTCCGGGTACAGCTCCGATATCAAAAGCTCTATACAGGATGGCACCGAGAGAACTTTCTGAGTTGAAAGTTCAGCTTCAGGAGTTGGTGGATAGAGGATTTATTTGTCCTAGTGTTTCTCCTTGGGGAGCACCTATTTTTTTTGTGAAGAAGAAGGACGGAACACTCCGTATGCGTGTTGACTATAGAGATTTGAATAAAGTCACGATCAAGAACAAGTACCCCTTACCACGGATTGATGACTTGTTTGATCAACTTTCTGGTTCTTCTATGTTTTCGAAGATTGATTTGAGATCTGGATATTATCAGGTGAAGGTGAAGGAAGCTGATGTGTTGAAGACATCTTTCAGTACTCGGTACGGATACTACGAGCTCTTGGTTATACCTTTTGGGGTAACCAATGAACCTGTTATTTTTATGGATTTGATGAACAGAGTGTTCAAGGAGTATCCGAATCAGTTTGTGATCGTCTTTATCGACGATATTCTAGTGTATTCTGCTTCTGATGATGATCATGCTAGACATTTGAGCATTGTGTTGGAGACTCTGAGACGGCATCAGTTGTATGCTAAATTCTCCAAGTGTGAATTTTGGCTGAAGAGCATTTCATTTCTGGGGCATGTGATTAGCGGTGAAGGTATTTCTGTTGATCCCCAGAAGATTCAGGCTGTTGCAGGATGGCCAAGGCCTACTACGGTATTTGAGGTACATAGTTTCTTAGGCATGCCTGGATATTACCAGAAGTTTGTTAAAGGATTTTCTCAGATTGCTACGCCTCTGACGAGACTGACTCAGAAGTCAGTAGCTTTTGTTTGGACACCGGAGTGTGAGGCTAGTTTTCAGAGATTGAAGGATTGTCTGACTTCAGCTCCAGTGTTAGCACTTTCGTCAGGTACGGAAGGATTTCAAGTGTTCAGTGATGCTTCACTGAAAGATTTGGGATGTGTGCTGCATCAGCATGGTAGGGTAATTGCTTATGCTTCGAGACAGTTGGAACCACATGAAAAGAATTACCCTACCCATAATTTGGAATTAGCTGCAGTTGTTTTTGCTTTAAAGATTTTGCGTCATTATTTGTATGGTGTCAGATATGAGATCTTCACAGATCACAAGAGCTTGAAGTATATTTTCACTCAGAAGGATCTGAATTTGAGGCATAGAAGGTGTCTTGAGTTGATCAAGGATTACGATCTGACGATTCAGTATCAGCCTGGTAAGGCTAATATGGTAGCAGATGCTCTGAGCAGGAAATCTTCTGGATTATCAGGTATTCAGCTCACTTCTGATGAGTTTCTGATTTGTGATATGGAACGTTTGTAGTTGACGGTGATTGATTCCAAACTACTGAATTCTGGAGTTTTGACTCAGTTGAGCATTCAGTCTTCTTTGGAAGATAGGATTCAGGAAGCCCAGAAGTTAGATTCTGATTATTCGATGTTGATTGATCATATTGAATCTGGTAAGAAGCCTGAACTCCGAGTTTCTAATTCTGATACTATTTTCTTCAAGAACAGGTTGTGGATTCTTGGGTTTGGAGATTTTAGGAGAGAGATTCTATATGAATCTCATCATTCAAGCTACACTGTTCATCCTGGAAGTGGCAAGATGTACGGAGATATAAAGAGTTTGTTTTGGTGGCCGAGAATGAAAAAGGATGTAGCAGATTTTGTTGCTAGATGCGAGGCCTGTCAGTTGGTGAAGGCAGAGCATCAATGACCAGGAGGACTTTTACAGTCGTTGTCTATCCCTGAGTGGAAGTGGGAGGAGGTAACAATGGATTTTTCTATGGGTTTTCCTCGATCAAGGCAAGGGCACGATGCCATTTAGGTGATTGTGGATCGTTTGACGAAGTCTGCTCATTTTCTTCCGATCAGGCAGACCGATTCGGTGGATCGATTGGCACAGGTATATGTGAAAGAGACTGTCAGATTACACGGGGTGCCTAAGGTGATTGTTTCTGATCGAGATGGACGGTTTACTTCCAGACTTTGGAAGGGTATTCAGCAAGGTTTGGGTACAAAGTTACATTTCAGTACAGCTTTTCATCCGCAGATTGACGGACAGTCTGAAAGGACTATTCAGGTATTGGAAGATCTGCTGAAGCTATGTGTTTTAGATTTTTGAGGAAGCTGGGAAAATCATGTTCCTTTGATAGAGTTTGCTTATAATAAAAGTTTTCAGTCCAGTATTGGTATGGCACCTTATGAAGATCTGTATGGCCGGAAGTGTAGAACTCCTTTGACTCTGACTGAGGTTGGAGATAGACAGGAGATGGGTGCCACTTTTGTAGATGAAACTGTTAAGAAAATCAATTTGATTAAAGAAAGGTTGAAAGCTGCACAAGATCGACAGCAGAAATATTACAATCAGAAGCACAGGTTCGTTGAATTTCAAGTTGGTGACTTTGTGTATGTCAAAGTCAGTCCGATGAAAGGTGTGAGCAGATTTGGCATAGTGAACAAGCTTAGTCCAAGGTATATTGGACCGTTTGAAATCTTTGAAAGGATTGATAGGTCTACTTACAGACTATTATTATCTGATCAGATGTCCGATGTTCATAATGTGTTTCACATATCTAATTTGAGAAAGTGGATATCTGACTCTGGAAAGAAAGTGTCTGCCGATGAGGTTGAGATTCAGGAGAATTTGAGCTATAAAGAAGAACCTGAGTTGATTCTAGCTTACGATGTTCGTAAGTTGAGGAGTAAACAGATTTCGATGGTTAAGGTGCAGTGGAAGCACCGAACTGCACGAGAAGCGACTTGGGAGAAAGAGTCGGACATGAGGAAGTCGTATCCGTATTTATTTTGACTGAGTTCTGATTGGGCAATATCGAGGATGACATTTTTTTGAAGTTGGGGAGATTGTAACAGCAGTTTTGTTCCTATCGTCCGGGCCGATCGTGGATCGTCCCGAGACGATCCGTTCATTTTTTGTTCTAGAATATGTACAGAAGTTACAGGAAAGTTTTCCTGTAAGCATCGTCCGGGCCGATTTGGGATCGTCCTGAGACGATCAGAGTATAGAACAAGTCAGAGAGTAGGGGTTTTTATCGTCCAAGAAAATTAATTTTCGTCCTGAGAAATCGTCCCAGGACGATGCAAGTTTGTTCAGATCGTCCAGAATGATCGTGCGATCGGTCGGGCCGATCAGAAGGTTATTTAGCTGAAATCAGTTCATTTTGAAGAGAGAGAAAATAAAAAATTATAAAAATATCTTTTTGAGGAGAGAGAAGGTCAAGGGTAAAAGAAGAAAAGTTAATTTTTGGACAACGCCGGGCCGTTTTCGTCCGTCGAGACAGTTCAAGAAATTGGTGTACGCAAGGTAAGGCACATTCCGCCTTTCTTAATTTTCAGAACGGTGAAGTTTGAACGATTTTTCAGTCCGGATTTCATTTTCGTTAGCGAATTTCGTCCGTATTTTCCGATTGGTTCAATTTTTACCGCATAACTTTTGATATGTTTCTGAGGTGCCTAGTGTGCACATTTTGATTATTTTCTGGAGAATTTTGACCGGATAGTTTTGATTCGGCAGTGTTTTATTTTGACTGTAATTTCTGATGATGTCTGAAATTATTTGGGCAGTAGAATAATAGTCTTATAATGTTGTTGTAAATGTTCTATTGTAATTTGGTAAAGTTCTGAATCTGTGAATTTTGTGTAAATTTCGTATACTGTCGTTGTGCTGCTTGATTTTCGTACGATTTCTGAAATTATCTGGATTTGTTCTGAAATGACATGATATGATTGTGTGCTATGAAAATGGAGTTATAAGGGGTCAGGATCCTGTGAGATCCTGCCTGTGTCAGGGAAATCTGAAATGAGCTATAAAATCTAAAAACAAGTTCTGTTCCGGATCCGATGATAAGTTCTGTTCTGGTGCTATAAGCACATCTGTTCTGGTGCCATGAGCACAAAGGGAGGCATAAGGGGCCAGAATCTGAGAGATTCTGTCAGTGTCTGGGAAGGGAGGTATAAGGGGCCAGAATCCGTTGAAATTCTGTTAGGGTCAGGGAATCTGTTCTGACTTTTGATATGTTCTAAATTGATATTATTTGATCTGATCTGTACAATTCTGTTCTGTTCTGATTTGATCTGATTCTGATATGATTTTGTTCTGTTCTGATTTGATCTGATATATATAATTCTGTTCTGATTATGATTTTTGTGATTTCTGTTCTGTTCTGATTCGATATATGATTCTGTTGATCTGATTTCTGTACGAATTTTGTCTGATGTGTTTGATGTGGATTCTGAGGATTCTAATTGGAGGTTTGATGTCTTGCCGAGCTGTTGTAGCTTATCCTTATTTTCTGCGTGATTTTCAGGTTCTGGGAAAGGGAAGGAAGTCCTGGAGTAAGAGTTCAGAGTTCGATCTGTTATAGGTATTTTGCACTGTTGATTTTTGTACAGTCATGGCTTTTCTTTTCTGTTTTTCTTTCTGTCTAAAAGTCATGAGCTGTATTTGTATATGATTCTTTTGAGGAAAAAAAAGATAGATGATCTGTTCCGCTGTATTTTGATGTTTATAGTAGCTCTGTGTGTCTGTTTCTGTGTGTAAATGTTTGGAAGAAAGTTCTGAAACAAATTCCAAAGCCAGATCCTGGAATCAGTTCAGTCAGTTAGAGTCTGGATCACAACCCGATGCGAGCGGGATCCGTCCCGGTCGGGTTGGGTCGTGACATCTATAGTGGTCGATATGCTCCTATGGGTCAAACGTATCGTCGTAGGACTCGATGCTTGGTAGTTTGAAGATAACCGAAATGGGGTGCGGAATAATGGCTTCAGTTAAAGGTGATAACTCTTAGAAGTTCCATTATCGAAGAGTTTACTTCATCTCCTCCGAAGAACTCCTTCCATTCCAATTTCTATAGTTCATGATGTAGGATATTATGAGGGAGCACAATGATGTGTGGTTTGGCTAAGTCTTCTAGGAGATCTGGAGGAATGCGAGGTTGCCGAGTTGTGGGAGAAGGATGGGTAGAACTTATCGTATCTGCAAGTTCACTATCCTGGCGTGACTGGAGATGTCTTCTTGGCAGAGGAAGATGAATCTCTACTTGAAGATGTTCGAGTTGAACATCTTCGGCCAGTAGTTGAGCTCAAGAGAGAAGAACCTCCTCCTGATATAGTAATCTTGGCTATCGAATCTCTCGTAGGAGTTGAAGGATCTCGTTTTGAGAATCTTCCATTTTTTGAATTCCCTCTTCTAAGTAAGGTCCTGAGATTCCTTCTCCAACGGCCTTTTTCCCCCCAGGGTAGAAAGAGACAGATATCGGGCGTCTATGATTCATAGGCTGATTTTTGGACTGGTGGAAGTTGGAGCGAGAAGCTCCAACGATACGACTGCTGCGCCTGTTGACCATCGTAGCAATACTTCGAGTTGTGGGATAATATTTTCCACAGACGGCCCCAAACTATTACGGACTAGAATATACGTGGAGATATAGTTAGAATATTCCGTCTAAGCATTGTATGATTATCTAGCACACAAACAAAAGAGAAAATAACATCAAGATTTTTACATGGAAAATCCTAAAAGAGAAAAAACCACGGGGCTACGCCCAATTGAAAGATTTTCACTAGTGTTTTCTTGAAGTACAAGAGGATGATTCTAGGACGTACAAATTCCAATGAATCACTTTTGGATTGAAAATCAGTTACAACATTGGTCAGGGTTCTGGGGTTACTTGGAGATCGGGTGGAATTCAGCATCACTCGAATGTCAGGCAGAGTTCTGGCGTCACTTGGGTAGAAGTTGTCACGACCCGACCCAACCCGGGACAGATCCCGCTCGCACCGGGCCGCGACCGAACCTTATATCTAGGATCTGGCTTTGGAATTTGCTT